ATCGATGAGGAAGCTATATATGACAGGGGAAGAAGAAGAAGAAGAAGAAGAAGGTGATGTTGATGAACCTGCAGTAAAGTCTCCTCATACTGTACAACACATTTTTGAGGGCTAGCTTCAGAAAGATATTATTTTTAATGAATGATTTATTGCAGTGAGATTCTCAAAATTATGGACTGGGAAAATTTCAACTTTCAAACCTGCCTGTAATCAGTCAGAATGTTAGATCTTTGCTTTCCCGGCATGCTAACATCTTTTTTTTTTTGTAAATACAGTATTTGAAAACTGAGTGATATTCTGAACCATAAAAATTAGCTTCACACATACATTTCATCAGTTGAACAAGTCTCTTCATTCTGCTGGGAGGATGATGTGAGCTAGTGGAACCACTTGGAAGAATGTTTTGTCATTGATTTCAGCTTCCAGCATATATATCCATTACTACAATAAAAACCAGTCTGCCAAATTTTAGTTCAAAAATTTCAAACTCTGCCTGCCTTAGTTAGGAACTTTATACTTGGAGAATCTGTTGAACATTCCTCAACATGTTAAGTTTGTTATGCTGGAATTGGGCATTTTGTTATAACAATATTGTTTAAAACATGTAACTCTATGGGCTTCATGATGCTGGGGCTTGAAAAACAGCTTTTAATCAGTAAACTGTACTGATTAATGGTTTATAGTGGTACAGTTGACGCCTGCACAACAGACTTGATTCATGCAAGAAACTAGTCTATTATGTGAAAAGTCTGTTGTACAAATTTTATTTTCTTATATATGTTTACACTTATGCAAAATAAGGAAGATTACAACCAAAAGAAGTAAAAAAAAAAATGCACACCCATTCATGGCAATAATAATGACATTTTTTATTCAAAGCAAGTTGGGAAGCGAGGGGGGACTTAGCAAGAGCAGGAAGGCCACAAGTGATTGCAAAAAACTTTGAAAGAAAAAAATAGGAATTCTACACTGAGCCGTATTCAAGTCAAAGATTTTTCTCCAGCATGGGCTTAGCTATACTGTACAGTAATTGATGGGATAATCTCAGGTTCCATAACTCAACCATGAGCGCAGTCAGCTTCCTTTCTATAATGAAAGGGTCACGATGGATTGATTAAGATGCAGTGTTCTGAAAAGAACAGAAAAAAAATGAAGGTGATTTCATTCGAAAATTTGTTCGTCCTTGATTGTCTTATTGTCTACTCAATTATCAGTCCAGCTGGGGCTTTTCTAACTCGGTGAAAACGAAATAGCCAAGTTTCTCATCCCCCCCCCCCCCCCCCCCCCCTTCCCTCTGGCTTCAGCAAATTTAGGCTCGTTTGTCTTATAATGTCATTGTTTGGTGACAAAATGGCAAACAATAANCCCCCCCCCCCCCCCCCCCCAAGGTAGGATATTTCACCAGATTAAGAAAACACGTTTTTTCACCAGATTATGAAAAGACGACGCTCTTGTTGAGAAACAATTTTGTTGTTCTTATTCTTTTCGTCAATGCGTCAAACAATTCTGAGTCAATGTCTGCATGTTCATTTTGCAATCCCATAACAGCAAGAATATCAAACAGGACCTGATGAGTGTTTAAGTGCACGAGTGCAACGAGCATTAAATACAGCCAAAACATGCAGTACTGTACATTATTCACAGCAATCATAATTCCACGGGAATATTTCAGTTGCATCGTACTGTTTAGTATTAGTCCAAGATGGGACATCTTCAATGCACAGTACTGTACTACTACTGCTTCTTGCTTCTTGGGAAGAGTGACATCTACATTCTCATGTCAAAAACAAAACAAAACGCTGTATTCATAATGCTCCATAGGAGATGTCCATTTCCCCGTGAAACCATGGACTTGAAATTTTCTTCACGATAAAACTCCGCTGTTCAAAAATCATCAAAAGCATGAATTACCGCGCTGAAAGTGTATACACTACAGTACTGTACCAGCATATTCACTCGAGGTAATTTTCCTGTGCTGGAACACGATACTGTACTGTATTTAAGCAGGACGAGGAAATCGTCATCGTGGCTCATCGCGCATACAAGAAAAATAAAAAGGAATAAAACATAAAGGCATCAATATATCCCAGAGTTGTAGTCACACTCCCCCCAAGGTAGGATATTTCACCAGATTAAGAAAACACATTTTTTCACCAGATTATGAAAAGACGACGCTCTTGTTGAGAAACAATTTTGTTGTTCTTATTATTTTCGTCAATGCGTCAAACAATTCTGAGTCAATGTCTGCATGTTCATATTGCAATCCCATAACAGCAAGAATATCAAACAGGACCTGATGAGTGTTTAAGTGCACGAGTGCAACGAGCATTAAATAAAGCCAAAACATGCAGTACTGTACATTATTCGCAGCAATAATAATTTCAAGGGAATATTTCAGTTGCATCGTACTGTTTAGTATTAGTCCAAGATGGGACATCTTCAATGCACAGTACTATACAGTACTACTGCTTCTTGCTTCTTGGGAAGAGCGACATCTACATTCTCATGTCAAAAACAAAACAAAACGCTGTAGTCATAATGCTCCATAGGAGATGTCCATTTCCCCGTGAAACCATGGACTTGAAAATGTCTTCACGATAAAACTCCGCTCTCCAAAAATCATCAAAAGCACGAATAACCGCGCTGAAAGTGTATACCCTACAGTACTGTACCAGCATATTCTCTCGAGGTAATTTTCCTGTGCTGGAACACGATACTGTACTGTATTTAAGCAGGACGAGGAAATCGTCATCGTGGCTCATCGCGCATACAAGAAAAATAAAAAGGAATAAAACATAAAGGCATCAATAAAAAAGAAAAAGAGAAAGAAAAGAATTAAAGAATGGGGGCGTCTTTTTCTTTTTCTTCTTCATTTCTTCCCCCCTCCTTCCCCTCCCCTCCCCACTCCCCGGGACACAGCCTTCTGCTGATGCTGTCGCCTGTGCAAATTGGCACAAGTTTGTCGACTTGGCTGTGCAGTATATTGACACATGAGGTTTTGCGCGCGTTCCTCGAATCCAGCATCGGCAGGAATCCCTTTTATTTCCGCTCTAGTACGCAGCATAAATCGAGTTCTTTGCACGATACCACACGGCGAATTCAGCCGTATTCTGCGCAAAAAAAGAAAATAAAAAATAATAAAAAATAAACTGAACCTCATGTGCTGCGCTGGGGCTGGTCGTGCTAATTTTAAATACCACTCCAGCAGCTGATCGAGTATATATAATAAACTGGTGATGATTTTTGCACTCGTATATACATGCCGACATTCCTGATACTTGATGCATTGTCTATTGCCATTTTATTAACACGTTTTTATTAACTCGCTTTCTTGTCTGTTTGTTTGTCTGGATCAAAGTTTGCAACTCAAATTTTGCTCACTTCCTGACTAGCTAGCAAGCTGAAACTTTCAGGATAGCTTAGAAACTGATGACAATGCAATTACGTGGTGCGCATGGAGATTGTTGGGAAGACGTGAAATACAAATGAAATAGATGCGCACCATGTTTAAATAAGTTATTTTTTCCTTTTTCAAAATGTGGTTTTTTAGATTAATTTTTTAATCTACTATAATTATTTTATTTTATCCATTGCTGTGGTTAAATGCCTGCTTCCATAGCGCGTGTATCCATGTACATAGGAATATCATCATCACCATCATGTGCAGTTCGTATAATGTACTGTATATGGTACGATTTTACCCAGGTTGTTTTTTCGTTGATTAAATAAAATCGATATTCTGCACAGTTCGGAGCAATAAAATCGGAGGAGTCACATGGATTCAACGTGTTGGCAATGTACGTATTACTGCTGTACTGGCGAGTGGCAAGCGAAGTACATTACTGTATTGCTCATTTGCTAATACAGTATACAATATACGTATGGCAATATGGGCAATAAATGGATGATGTTGCCATATTGTTCGTAAGCCATGTGTATCGACGATCGAGTTCCCTGACTTTTTCTCTTCTTTTGTCAAGCATGATGATGTACAACTGTAATACAGTACTGTATATTTGATGGGGGAAGAGGAAGGCACAATATTGTAGTGTGCGTCATCATTTTGCAAATTAATGCTTCAGGAAATACTTTAGAGTGAATCAACACAAGGGGACAATGAATATACTTACGCTGCATTCGTATATACTGTTCACTGTAGTACAGTACAGTACTGTATATATATATAGTGTGTTGCATTTACAGCAGCAGTCTGTCGCCGCATATGTACAGTATACTGTAGTATATACTTGTCCTTGAATGGATCCATTATTTTTGAGAAAGCTGAACTGTATTGTAGTGTCATCTACACACTCGTCACCGATGCAGCCTCCTGGCGGATTGGTCACTTGATACTGTCCTGGCTTTATGTAGATGTCGTCTCTTTCCCGCTAAATGATTGATTCTCTCATCTTCTTCCACGGCTCCGTTCTTATACAGTATACGCGGTACTCATGTGTATGGATGGTGCATGTATATACAGTACATTATATGATGCGCGTCATCCGCATTATGTGCAGTGTTCGCAAGCATTATTGTCGCATGCAGCACAGTTCATTGCATTGAGTGGATTATTGCGACATACGCTTCCGGATATGCGGAGAGGCGACGACGAGTTCCTCTCAATAATAATAATGATAATACAGTACTGCTGTAATACAGCTATGGCTTTGTGTGATGCGCATCGGGCGTTTTATACATTTCGGAGGGGATGTTGGCCAATGCTGAGGCATGAGCGCCAATAATAATAAGACAAGCCCCCAAGCAACGTGCGCATGCCCAGTTCGCGGAAACGGACGACGACGAGCCAATAACAGAACTACCGAGTACAGTACTGCATGTACACTATGTATGTTCCTGTCTTCCCCGATGCATGTACTGTATGTATCTTTCTGTCATCGCATCTCAGCCAAGGCCGGTGACAAGAACAATTCAATAGAGTAATCAAGTGCAGCTGATGGAAAACAACAAAGATAGCCGCGAATAAAAGGCGTGAATGCAAAATGCATGAGCTCTCGTCGTTCATCGGAGGCTATACCCATCATCCTTTTCAGCTCAACTCTTTCTCAGTCGGTCACGGAACCGGATCGCGGTCGGCTCTCAACAATAATAATAAGTTACGCACTACGACTGTACTGTATACTGTATATAGGGCTAGCTGTTGCGTAATTGTGGGACTTTTCTGCATTCCTTCTCCTCCTATGACTTTTGTCGAAAGGTTACTGGTTTTTTTTTTTCCCAGTGCTGCCCGGACAGGTGTCGCTCTTATTTCTTCGTTGATTCCCTCCTTCATTATTGCTCGACCGATCGAGTTCAATTCTTCGTGACCGAGACCGCATGTACGGTACATGTACATCAGCAGTGCATATCCCCATACGGTACTGAATATTTCAACGCGTTTCAAACGTGTGGCGGAAAATGCAAATCTCGACACACGTATACGTGCGCTAACAAGTATATTATGACCATTGAATGTAGAATAAAATATTTTTTTCATTTACGTGCGTATCTTATTATAATCTTCTTTATTATTTAAATTAAGAAAAATGTGAATGGCAATAATAAGGAATATTTATAGAGAAATTCAGATCGTATTCCGTATAATTTAACTCACGCTACCGGTATAGTTATTTCATATACTGTACAGTACAGTATTATAGTCGAGGTTTGATATTCAGGCGACTCGCGTGTGATTTTAGATATATATATATATATTTACAGTACATTATACATGGTACAGTAGTTCACTGGTGTAAAGCAGTACATTTTCATATTCTTCTTTATTTTTATACAGGGATCAAACAAATATACTCATCAAGGAATAGAAAAGTGTTTACAGCAAGAGTACATACATCTTATATTGCCGAGTTTTCGGATCCCGAGCAGTTCGTGGACGTCATCATGAAGATTGACATTCACACACACGTCCTACCGGAATCCTGGCCTGATTGGGACCAGGTATGTTTATTTACAATAAAATGCACACAATGTCCTGCGATGCATATATATAAGTCCTTCAATAATAATGCGTTTATTCACTCATTTGAAGGATCCCTCATCATAACCAGGTAAAAGTTACCGCATATATATATTTTCATTAGCGCTATTCGATCAATAATAGACATTCAAACGTCATCTCAGCAATTTGCAAATGACGCGTTTGAAATTACTGTACTTTACAATATACCTACACATCAGGTATATACTGTACCTATGTTGAATTCAATAATCTATAAGGCATAATTTTTAATTACAACAGTCAAACCCTGATTTAGTGCCATATATTGTTTGTCCTGGCATATTCTGTGGCACTATAAGCAAGGATGGCGCTGAATCCAGGTTATTTGTATGTGTGACTGAGAGTGAGAGAGAGAGAGAGAGAGGTCCAGTTCAGAGTTTCCATTATTATAGGAAAAAATAAGCTTGTTTACAGAACTTTTAGGCCAATTAATCAAGAGAAAAAGGCAAAATAAGTAATGTTTGTTAATTTCTTCACATTTCATTTCAGAATAATGTGCATTGATCTATAGGCGGAATGATTACATTTTTAAACACATGACATCTACTAAAAGATCACAGCTGTTTCTCAAGATTTTGTGTGCATTTCACTTAGTTTTATACTGTATAAAGTGCATATAGAGGCAACAACAATGCGGTTGTGCAAAAGTTTCCCCTTTCTTGTATTTTCAATTGAGGAGGGTGACATGCTAAGATAAATATTTTTCAATACAGCATTGTAATTTCAAAAGTAGATTTTTCACATTTATCCTGAGTCTTATGTCAGCATGCGTTGGGAAGTGATTCTCAGTCGAAAGTCTTGTTATCCAATGATATCCTTGGGAAAATGCCAGAGTTTACTTCAATCTCTGTCCACTTTTTTTTTTTTAAACAGCATGACGCAGATTTATTGTGGCACTAATTAGTGAGTTGGCACTAAATTGGGGCTCTCCTTAAAAACATAAAGCTGGAGGGAGATTTGTACCAGGGAAATTTGTGGCACTAAATCAAGGGTTCACTATTTACCTGTTAAAATTTGATCAGGTGTCTGTTGTTTCTTTTTAAATCTGCACATACCGGTATTTTAAAATGCTGTACAAAAAGAACAAGCGTTTTAAAGATTTATTTTAATCATTATACAATCTTTGGAGGTTGACATGCACTGTAGTATACAGTAATGTATATTATTTATAGTACAGGTACAATATAACGTATATATAAATGGTACAGCTGAACATGAATATGATTTCTATATATACATGTATATTTATACAGTAGTTGACAATAACAGGGCCAAAAAAAAAATAAAGAATAGAAGAAGAGGACCTAGCTTCTCTCGGATTCATTTATATATATATATATATATATTGCAGAAATTCGGATACCCGGGATTCGTGCGACTGGACAGAAGCAGCAGCAGCAGCAGCAGCACGAATAATGCCACAACTAATAATAATACTACTTGTATTAGCAATGATAACAATGACAATTGTCATCCTCCTTCTACCAACAACAACAACAACAACAACAAGAATAATAATAATAATGATAATAATAATGCTATTCATCGGGCTCATCCTGCTGCCGAGATGAAACGCGGCGACCAGACATTCCGCGTCGTCGACGAGAACTGCTGGGACTCGGGCGCCCGTCTCAGGGACATGGACGCCACCGGCGTCACTCTCCAGGCCCTGTCCACTGTGCCGGTCATGTTCAACTACTGGGCAAGTATACTTGGTTCTGCATATTTATCAACAGTTTATCTGCGTGCATATACAGTACTTGGTTGGCTACTCGTCCTGTTATTCACCTGCATGCAACGTCATTCCGAATCAGGTTACACACATATTGTATATACAGTACAGTACAGTACTGTACAGTATATCAAATGTAACTGTGTGTGTTTTTTTTGAAAGCAAGTGAAAGAATTAATTGGGTAAATGAACTCATCTTGACTTCAGTAAGTTCAGCTTCAATAAATCCTGTCAACTCATTCATTATACTGTAATCAATTCCAGCCCCAGAACATTTGCCAATTTCTTGCAATATTCTTTGTCCTTTTTTCCCCGCCAGTAAAAATGTTTTGTTCCTTTATTATTACTAATTGAAACATCTCTCATGCCAATTTTTGCTGGTTCTTCAAGTTTGATTTAAATAAGAAGTTGGATTGCATTATATATGTATATACTGTATATGGCATATAGATATATACAAGCGGTGATGCATGATATTTGCTGGGTACATAATGCAGTTGAACCTCTCTAAGTTGAATTTCAAGGGACCTGCAAAAAAATTTGACTTACTAGGGAGGTCAGGAATTTTATAGGTTGGAACTGCAATGCAAAGCCCTTTTTTCTGGAAAACTTTGAAACAATTTAAATGGAGATATTCTAAAACTTAAATGGCTTCTCAAATGAGTTGGAAGGCTTCTGAACTTAGTGGCAGGGGTTTATGTTCCCAATTAAGTCTTTTGCTTCCTTTTAAAACACGTAAGTTACTGTTTTTATTGCTTTTTTCTTTTCTTTTTTTCAAGAAAATAATGGCCAACATCACAGGCCAAAGAAAATTCGACTTACAGAGACATTTGAGGGGAAAAGCCTTTGGCTTGGGGAGGTTTTTTTTATGTACAGTACAGTATTGTTTCTAAGGGGATTCAGAGGGGATCTGAAAAAAAATTTTGACTTAGGGGGTATTTGACTTAGGGAGGTTAAAGTTACTGAGGTTCACCTGTATTCATAACAATCAATGAATATTACATAATACTGTACATCATTGAATGATCATATAGCTAGCATGCACAATCCAAAGTACTTATATTACTTTAATTGTTCAACAATGAATATACTGTACTGTGTTATAATACAAACAGGCAAAACCAGAAGACACCATGGAAACAAGCAAGTTCCTCAACGACGACATTGCAGTCCGGATTGCGCAGCACCCTGACCGGTTTGTCGGGTTGGCAACCCTGCCTTTGCAGGCCCCGCTTTTGGCAGTGGAAGAGCTCAAGAGAGTCGCAGTGGACCTGAAATTCTCTGGCATTCAAATCGGATCCCACGTCAACCAGTGGAACCTGGATGAACCTGCATTGCATCCAGTTTACAAGGTACAGTACTGTACATTTATTACTATGCCCAATTCATGCTGCATGCAGGCAAATAATGCTTTCATCATGTTCACATCATTTATGTACTGTATATACAAATATGCAGACTGCCGAAGACTTGGGCCTTGCAATTTTTGTGCACCCCTGGGACATGGACACTGCTGGTGGCAGATTGGTCAAGTATTGGATGCCATGGTTGGTGGGTAAGCAATACAAATATATATAATATATACTATATATAAATATATATACTGTGCATGTGACAGTTCAGTATAATAGATAAAACCAGCTACTGCTCCACTGATTTCCCAAATGAACAATATATTCGGAATTGGCAACATAAATAACCTCTTTTTAATATGCCAAACTCACAGCCACCTCAGTTCACTGCTGGCAGTTTTTTTTTTTTTTTTACAGCAACATGAACTTACTTACTGACTCCATAATAAATCTATCTCGTGCTGGTTCCAAATATACACACACTCACAAATACAAATATATATATACAAATATATACACACGCTCGATTCATTTTGTAAAATGTATTCATAAAGTAAGCAGGAACTGTCATTCATGAGGATAAGAAAGCTCATGAATATAAGGCATGACATTTTCTTTCATGACTCCATCCATTCAGGTCTTCAAAAATCAATTCACCACACCATGATGCTTTCAAGACAATCAGCATACACACACACACCATTTTAATCCCTTCATTGAATAATGTACTGTATTAGGATGAAATTGTATGCAAAGCCATATAGCTGGTGACGTCTGTGATGATGAGATCCAAATTCATTTGGAACATTACATGTTCCGCAATGATAATTCATCATCATGCACAGGAATGCCGAGTGAGACAGCAGCCGCAATTTGCAGCATCCTCATGGGCAACATCCTGGACTTGTTCCCCAGACTCAAGTTCTGCTTTGCTCACGGAGGCGGAGCCTTTCCCTTCACCGTCGGCCGCATAACGCACGGACACCAAGTTCGGCCCGACTTGTGCGCAACCAACTGCAAGGTGTCACCCCAAGATTACCTTGGACGATTCTACACCGACTCCCTGGTGCACGATGCCAAGGCCTTGGATTACCTAATCTCTGTCATTGGCGAGGTAGGGTACATGACTTGTGCGCAACCAACTGCAAGGTGTCACCCCAAGATTACCTTGGACGATTCTACACCGACTCCCTGGTGCACGATGCCAAGGCCTTGGATTACCTAATCTCTGTCATTGGCGAGGTAGGGTACAAAATAAAGCGAAAATTTGATTTCACTTTGAAATTCTTCTGGCCAGAAGAATGTTTTGAGAGAAACGCAAATTTTCTACTGAAATGAGCATCCTCCTCTCATCCTCATTAAATACTACAGTAACATAATATATGCTGGAGACACCAGTGTTCCCCAACCTCTTAGGTCCCGCGGACTGGCAAATTACTGTAAAAATGTTGGGAGGACTGGCAAATTTCCCAAAATGTTCTGTGGACTGACAAAGTATTTTAAGATTTTTACAGAAAGCTTTGTGGCAAGCATTTAAAAAGTTCCTGCTTTTCTTCAAAAGATTAAGATCCAATGAAGCAGGCATACAGTAGAATGTTCCCCAAAGTATTAGTAAGGTGGGCTTGAAGAAGGGTTTGTCAGACTGAAATGATTAAAAATTTATTTCAAGAGTAGTTAAAAGAAAAGCCAACTTAAGTTTTCTTTAGATAAATTCAACTACCATTTGTTTTCCCAGGATTTCAGATGAAGATAACAGACTTCATTGCAGCTTTTCTCAATTTACTATGCTGCAGAAAATTCCCTGCAGACCAGCAAAAAACTTCTGCAGACCACAAGTTGGGGAACATTGCTGTAGACAAGTGTTCGAAAATTAAATCTGTCAAGCAACTTTCTGGGTCTCCATAAATTCTTAAATTACACATAAACAATAATCTCGACAGGACAAGGTGATACTTGGAAGCGATTACCCCTTCCCATTGGGCGAGAGTCACCCGGGCCAGCTGACTGAAGAAGCCAAGTTACTCGGCTCGGACTTGAAGGTTTGTGTAGTGATCAAATCAATCGGGACACACTTACAGTACAGTGTAACAAATCAAGTGTGGCTATCATTATACTATATCATTATACAGTATACTATATCCCTGCCAACAGGAAAGGATCTTGTGGCGGAACGCCGTCGAGTTCCTCGGACTGGATCGGGTTGTGCAGCAGCAACAACAACAAGCCAGGCTTGCCAGCGCCTGATATATTAGACTGACTGATCGATTCCCGCAAATATATTTTAACCTCCGTCTCGGTGATGATGCGTGTAAAAGCTTCTCCTCGTCCAGTATAAATGCATTCCAATAATAAAAGTCACATGCTCATTTTGTGGGCAATGCATCGCCTCGTTTCCTTCCGACACAACAGCCGCAGCAAATTCAATCCAAATCGAAATTCTCACAATGCTTCGTTCCTGGGTTCGTAATAGAAATTAGCAGCAGGAATAAAGCGAAAACCCGAGGGACAGATGCTTGAGGTCAAGAATGAACACCAGGGGGTTTCTCGAAAGTCCTGCGCATCACCTGGACTCACAGCTTCCACAGAGACCAATCGATAAATCAATCTAACCTGGGCATCCGGTTATACAGTAGCAACTTCATTTAAAAAAAATTTTTAATCCTGATTTTCGAGAAGCAAATTATAAACTAACAAAATATGCAGTACAAATTCATTTCTTTGGGTGTCATGTGATGTTGCTGAAGAACAATTCAATGAGAAGTCACTGAACATGGAGCAACAAGAGATTCGCATTCCTTCCACGTTTGTCCATTTCAATCAATCAAGCATTTCTTTCAAATTAACGCCACGGACGATGTACAGTAATTGTCTACATAATTTTTCAACTCTCCCGCACTGGGGAATGCATGACTTCCTAGGTTGCCATCGCTTGAAACATGAAGGCTAGACAAAAAATAATAAAAATGAATAAAAGCAAAGCTAAAATCTTCCTGGATAAATTGGAACAAAATCTTTCAAGCCGTCATCTTCCTCGCCAGAAAAAAAAAAGAGTTTTTAATGCACTTTCGGAAACGTGGGTGAGAAACGTTGGAGCAGTTTCAGGATAAACTCATAAAAATAATTTTTTACACTGTAAAAATGTAAAAAATAAATAAATAAAGCAATCAAAAGACTCCTTCAAGCTGGTTTTTTGATGCCCACAAGACAGAAAAGGAATACAGGTGCCAGGAATGCACTCATTCCGATCTTCACCCGATTCTAATGGAATGAAGGAAGACATTGAAACATTTGCTATTCGACAGGTCATCTGCTTCTGTTGATGCGCAAGTGATTCACAGGACTCGAAAGAATTAAAAAAAAAATCCCTCATACGCGCATGATTCAAGGAAAAGGACAAAAAATATAATTAAAGTAAATAAAATCACGTCCTGTTACGGACTTTTCCGGTCGACGACGATGACGACGACTTGACGGAAGAAGAGTGTTGTCTTCGTTTTCCATCGGGCTCGTTTTCGTCTCGTCTCCGGCTCGACTTGCGCTTGTGAATACCGTTTGAAGCCTGTGGTTCCTGCTGCTGCTGCTGTTGTTGTTGTTGTTGTTGTTGTTGTTGGTGGTGCTGCTGGTGTTGTTGTAACTGATGCTCTCCCACGTCCAATGCCAAGATCTCCGAACTGCTCGGCAACAACACGTCGTCCGGCAGCACAAACCGTCCGATCGGCTCCAGCGTGGAACGCGAGTCCTTCAGCTTCGCCATCTCCTCTCGCAGCTTCTTCAGCAACGCCAAGTTCATCGACCTACCATGACAAACAAACACGAAAAGTATTGCAGATTTCCAGGACGGGACACGTGGCCACCGGGCAAAGAGTGGTATGATTTTGCATCCCCTCGGGAAATTTCGAAAATGAATAATTACTTATCCAATCTCTTTTTCGACAGGAGATTTAACACATACAGTATCTCCCAATTTCACACCACAGTCAAACGAACGCGAACTGATTTATAAAATCTTTCGAAGCATTTCGTGACGAGGGATACCCCTTCGCGATTTTCAACATTGTAATAGTCTTCCACTGCGTAATCAATTTCTGACACACCAAGAAGAAAGATAGATGGAAGCGTTAACTTTCCATTCCACCCCTCATTCATTGCAATGAAGAGGAAATACAAATAAAAGGGAGACGCAACGAACCGGCCTTTGGCCTGTCCCGCCTGCTTCTGCTGCAACTTGGTCACTTCCTGGGCCAGCTTGTGCTTTCGCTGCGCCGCCTCCGACGGCGACACCCCGTACAGCCTCAACAACGCCCCCCACGAGCCCAACAAGGGATGCAGCTTCTTGAGTATCATCTGCGACGCCACTTGCTTCCCCTCGCGCTTGTTCTTGCACTTGACCGTCACTTCGTGATTCGCCACCTTCATGGTGAACTCAATAAGCTTCCGGTTCGGCTGCTTGTCCAGCTTCGTCTCCACGTTGAAGGCGCCTAGGCCGTGGTTCCGCTGGATGCACGTCGTCAGGATCTGAAACGGCGGCGGCTTGCCCAACGTGTTGGACATCTTGGCCACGCGCGAGTCCTCAATGTCCACCGAGTCAAAGAAGTTCTTGCCCGAGGCGTCCGTCGCGTCGTCGTCCTTGACCGTCTCGCTGCCGTCTTCCGACTTGCCCGGCTCGTCGTCGATCTTGAGCTCCTTCTTGCAGTCCGGCAAGAGGATCCCCAAGGTCGCCTTGGCCGCGTTCACCTTGGCCAGTCGCTTGCTGGACCCGTAACCCGTCCCGTACTCGACACCCTGCATTTCATAATCCATAATCATTTCCTCCTCCGACAAAAAAAAAATTGAAAAGATGAAAAAAATCACCTGGATCATGACAGTGGCGGCATACGGAGACGCGGCGTCCGTCAACTCCAGGTACTTGTACTCGGGGTAACTCTGTTGGCTGAAAAACAGCACCTCGTGCAAAATGGACACATACGACTTGCCGGCCGGGTTGAAGATGCGGTGTCTCCGCTGGCCCGTTTTGCCGTCGCCGTTCTTGGCCAGGCCCGGCGTCAGGATCGGCAGCGTGATCAGCTTGGCGTCCTTGGGCACCTCCGGCCCGTTCAACGTCCGATTGTTCACCTTCTTGTACACCCGCCGGGACCGCCAGGAATCGAACACGGCAATCGACCGTTTGTGGAGCGTGAACCGACGAGTGGCGTACTCGCGAATGGCCTCGGCACCCAGCAGCTCCGACTTTTCGCACTCGGCCGCCGTGATGAGCTGCGCGTTCTGGATCACGATTCGGTTCCCGGGTTCCGCATGACTCGCAGCGATGCTCACGGGTTCCGAGGCTTCCGCAGCTTCAGGCACGTCATCGATTACCTCGCCGTCTTCTCGTTCCGGCTCGGCGGCATGGGCCGGGCAGAGGGGAGCAGCAACAGCAACAAGCGGCGACACCTTCCCATAAACAATCAAACAAGGATTCTCTCATTCGAGGGAAATGCAGTTTTCTTCTGCATTTTTGTTTTACTCCTCCATTCAAAATAAAATACGATCAAACCTCTTCAACTCGAACTTTGAGAGACAAGAGAAAAATTTGAGTAAGGGAAACGAGCATTTTCTTCTGGGAAAAGAAAAAAAAAGGCAGAAAATTTCCTGTATTTCCTGTCTCTATAAAACGATAGCATAAATGCCTCCAGAAGATTCGAATGATGGAGGTTTGAGGGGGGAGAGCCTGCAAGTCAGGGAGGTTATTTAATGCATTGTTTCTGAAGAATTCAAACAGGGACTTGAAAAATCAAATCAAATGAGGGAGGTTCAACCAACTGCAATATCATTGGCAGATGCCATGCTATGCCATTATGCACAATAAATGAACAGAATAATCAGCGACGAGGAATCATCATCATCATCAGTCACCTCGTCGACGACTGGCTCTTCGACCTTTGGCTCGACCGCATGCACCTTCTTATCAGTGAGATCAATGATCCCCGGAGGCACACGAAACTGCTCCTTCTCCTGTTCCCGCAGGTACTTGAAGCAAGGAATGGAGCTGAGAGGAACCTCGTGTCGCCTCACGCTGCCGTTGCCAATGAAATACGGCTGGGACCAGGTGCAAACGCGAGATTCCTGATGCAAAAACACCGGCAGCCCCGAGGAATGGTTCAGCTTGATCCAGCCAGAGGGCAGGAACTCGAATTCGTTCTGGCCCTTCTCGAGCAACGAATACTTTTCAGCGTAGTTGAGCACTTCACCGAGCGGCCCGCGGGTTTTTTCGTGTTTCACTGGGATGCTGGCGGCGGTGGTGATTGTGGTGGCAGAGGCACGGCCTACGACGACGTCGTTCACCACCGGTTCAGGATCCTTGTCTTCCTCTTCTTCGTCCTCCTCCTCTTCCTCTTTGACGGGCCAGGTTTCGACGGACTCGTCCTCGTCGTCGGAGTCCGAGTCGGACGACGACTCGTTGCTCGACGACGACGAGGAGTCCGAGGACGTCGAAGAACTCGACGACGAGCCGGAAGAAGAGTCCTTGGAACTGAGCTTGGAGACGTCTTCGTCACGGACTTCGTCGAGGACGGAGAATTCGCGGGAAGAGCCGACCATGGGCAGTTGGAACGGCTTCACCACGTTGCCCACGTAGCAGAGCTCGTTCTTGGGTTTCGCGTTCGAGTCGGCCCAGTGGCGGAGCGGGACGCTGGATGTGCGCGACGTCGGAAAGCTCTTGGAATCGGGCATCTTGCCGCCCTCTCCTTTCACCCGCTTCACATCCATTCTGCCGTTCCTGTCGTCACGACGCGGAACACGGGCATCCATCAGATCACGAGACACACGTCACGCATTGACTGATCATCACCGACATTCCCGACTCTCTTCTGCAAACACTTTTCCATAGGATGCAAAAAAAATGGTGGGTCACTCGCACTGACAAACACAGTGCGGTATTCCAGAAGACAGAAATCATACGACGATTCACGGCAAATTTTGTTTGTTTGTTTGCCACCGTTTCGCAAATTTTTACGACATTGAGTGAACATCAGAAGAGCAAATATCAAAACAGCAAAGGTTTCGGGCTCGGTTGAAATGTTGAAACTTGCTCTTCTCGTGAGACTAGATGTTCTTTCAATGCTGAGCATGATTTTTGTGCAATGCAACGGCTTTCTGTTGGGACAGCAGCGCTCAAAAATTACGTGAGGTCAGGCCAAGTCTTTTTTTCTCCTCAGCACTCGCTCTTTTGATACTCGCTCTACTGTGATATGACCCTCAGTGTTTTATTCGCGCACCGCAGGCAACAGCACATCAGGAAATGAACAAAAAAAGAGGAAAATCCCATCAGTGGGAACACACGTCACAGGCATCACAAGCTCAACGCTTCTGGTCACCGAGGTCTTCAATCAAGCTTTCTTCAATCTGTCCAGAGAAAAAAAAAAACCAATACTGTATATTAAAACCCCTTTACATTATTGACATCCGACGTTGGACGAATTCATTCAGCTCACATCGGGCCACTTTTCCGGGAGAATGTCAATGAGGTCGTCCTTGACGTCACCTTGGATGACAATCTCGTCGTCACCAGTGACGCTGGACCCGCAGGAGAATTTGTTGGCAAAGAACTTGGATGCATCTTTCAAGTCGATGCCGAATGTCGACAGGCCGCTGACTATCGTCACGGATTTTTTCTTTCCACGCGGCGCTCTCGACACACGGACAGACTTGGCGATTTCCTGCTTCTTCTTCGCCTTCACTAGGCCCTTGCCGCCTCTTTTCTGCCGCTTCTTCTCGTCGGAATCGTCTTTATCATCTGCAGACAGACAACGAGTCGATAATGCAACAATTTTTCTCTCATTCATTTCCCTTTTCAACAGCCGATCAGAATCATTTGATCAGGTTTATTTTCTTTCGCAGAAAATTGCAAGGAAGCATGTCTCACCGATGCGAGTTGCACGCTCGAACTCATCCGGCAAATTCTTCTCCAGCCATGCTTTGCATTTCTCGTAATCCGGGTAAAATTCACAGTACTGCGAAACGTAGCAAATGGTTTTCTTCATTACCCAACAAGTTTCCAAAACAAATTCCCTTCTTTCCTTATGTCACGGCACAAGAAAAAAAAAATTGCTAGGAAACGCAACTGACTTCAACTGGCATGCTGCAGTTGCCACAATAGGTAATTTGCATGGGGTACGTCACTCCGGGCAGTGGTCCACCTTCTCGAACGACATCTCCCACCTGCTCCTCTCCAACTTCCGCACTGTCACTCATCTCATCAACGATTACTCTGCCGCAAAACAATCACGAACCTGCAACCACAATCGTCACATCACGACGAAGCAAAAAAAGTAGCACTCGGATAATTACTCAGAAGACCCAATGAAGCGATTTTTTCTAAAACAAAAAAACCGCAATTCGATTTACAATCCATGAATCATCACCAGTAACAAAACTTAGAATCGAGGAGCCAAGTCAGCAGAGATAAGAAAGAGGATCGTGTGCCATTCACTGGTAGTACAACTCCAAATTCATCCCGTCGTGAATCTCATCTGCAATTTTAGGAAAGAAAGTCAAGATTTCTTTCTAAATCCAATTTAATGAAGAATAGCTACTCACAGTCTTCCAGGGTGATGTGGTCCTTGAAAATGGTGTACCACTTTTTCAACACGATTTTGTCCCAACGTGTGCCCGTTTGGGCAGCGATCAGCTTCTTCAAGTCCCCAATGGTATCGTCCGGGTTACACTTTATTCTAACCTTCTTCCCCAATCTGTCATTGCAAGTAATCTCCAGCATTTTCCTCTATTCGCTCTTTCGAATCCCGCTGGTTCCTAAAAGTAACAAAAAAAAAAGCTTCTGAAATACTTCTGAAGTGATTCTTGATACGATTAGAAAAATATGAAACTTCTGGCAGACCACAGTTTTTTATTCATGGCCGCGGAAATTCATCTCACGAAAATAACACCACACATGACAAAAACTGTTGTCACGACACTGATATGTTTGTTAAACCATCCCCCGTGCGTTGAATCCCCGAAATAGTCGAAACTGTTATAAAACGTAGAGTAAGAGATTCCTTCAGCTGACATGGTCAAAACTTCACAGGATCAGAGTATTGCACCTAACGTTTTCCTGAAATAAAGAGAACAAAATAAGTATGTAACAACAAATTTGGAAGAACGAGAACACACGCAGGAACTTTCACACGAATACGAACCTCATTTGCAGCAACGACGTCTTTCCAGTCACGTTGAGCAATTGCTGGCACAACTTCTTTAAAAAGTTTCAGCAGTCTCTCAGCACCAGTTTTCAAGTTCTCCAAAACAAGCTGCAAGTGCACAGGGCTATGGTCTGATTGTGGCCTCCAGCAGTCATAATCCGTGACGCTTGCGATGCTCACGTAACTCAAGCCCGCTTCTTTTGCAAGGACCACCTTTAAAATAAATCAAATTAAGAATTCGTGGGAAAGATTCACAATTTTTTTTCGAATCCCAAATTTTCCATTCCACATACGAAGACTGGTAGGACGGCTTTGGCACTTTTACACCCCTCGCGATCAGGTATTTTTCCAGAGGGATGTAAATCCAATGGATATTTATTTACAAATTCCAATTTTGCCCACCGAGGTGCAATAAGGAGACAAGGAAGCGATGAAAGATCACTCCCATTTTCCAAGCGTTGTTTTAGAATGACAGGCTTTCTTCTGGATTTCAAAAAATCTTTTTAAGGAGGAAGAGAAAACATTGAAAAACTAGACATACTGATCAGTGAAGTCGATTAATTCAATGATTCTAGTAATGCACACTAAACCATTTCCTCACGGGATAAAAAAAAATTAAAAGCCTAATAACTTCGTGACACTGCCTGAATTAATTCTAGGCCAGCAGGGGCACATTCAAAAATAAATCGAGTTCTTGTCTCAATTCACTTATTTTCACAAAGTTGAAACCACTCCAATGCTCATCAATTGACCAACAACAAAAAAAGCCAAACCTCTGGGACAGTGGTCATGTTGATGACATCAGCACCCCAGAGACGAAACATGTTGCTCTCGGCCTTGGTGGAGAACCTCGGCCCTTCCACAGTGATCACCGTCCCCTTTTCATGCATCACAAAATGCGTCTTATCGTCGTCATCACCAGCACCGTCCTTCCGCCCCAAGTCCCACCCAAGCTTCTCCTTGACCACGTCCAGCACCAGCAGTCGCGTGTGCTCACAAAACGGCGTCTCCAACGGCAGGTGACAAATGCCCGGCGGCGACCCGACCTCGCCGTCGAAAAAGGTCTGCACTCGCTTCGTCGTCCTGTCGATGAACTGGTCCAGTAGGACCAGGTCCCCGGGCCGGAGTTCTTCCCGCAGCGAGCCACAGCACGTGGCGGCAAGCACGTGCGTGCAGCCGGCGTCCCGCAGCGCCCTGATGTTGGCGCGATTGTTGACGTTCGTTGGCATTACGTCGTGGTTCCGGCCGTGACGAGAAAGAAATACGCAAGGAACGTCACAAATGAAGCCGTGCACCAGATGGCTCGACGGCTCCCCGTATGCAGTCGTCACCTCCTCGGTTCTTTCCACGTCAAACAGCACGGGGTTGTTCAGTCCCGAACCACCAATCAAGCCTACCTACACAGCGGGAATAGCAAAAGAACATGAATTTAAATCGGTTGAATTGATAAAATTTTAACTAGCAAAAAATAAAAATGGGTCATGGGTGACACCTAAATTCTCTTACATTTTCGAAGATGTTCGGTTCGCCTAGGAAAGCTTCAACTGACTTGCGCGAGATCGTACGGTCAGCGATTGAGGCGACATTTAAATAAAATTTTAAAAGCCGGGCGTCAAGTAAAAAAATAGATAAAATAACGAAACTGCGCCGAAGACGAGCCAACAAACTGGCATAAAGACTGGGGTCAATTAACAATCACTGAAGTACTTCATCATTTTCTTCAATTATTTTGGCACGAGACTGATAATTCAGTGATGTGTTGAAACACGAAAAACTCACTTTCAACGGACGACCGGGGTCTCCCTCCATGACTACGAAGCAGCAGCACACAACAATACCTGCCAAAAGATGGAACACACAGAAGGAAGCTGTAGACAACAGCTTTCTTTCGCAAAATCCCAGAGGAAATATCGAAAAAGAACTACGCATCAATACTTGATTTGTATTAGCAGGCAACAAAAACATCACGCAAGGACCGTCCCTACAAGTCCTTGTATTTCCCCTCCTTCAAGGCCCTCTCGGCCAAATCTTGCTTCACCCACGAGGCTAAATTCCACGGTCTTTTGTGGGCAAGAGGGAATTTCAACGGCGTTGGCTCTCCCTCGAATGGATGCAGCGTTTTCAGACGGAGCAACAGCACTTCTTTGTTTATCTGCTGAGGATGCTTGTATCTATCCAAATAACTGAAAAAAATGCAACTTGTATTAATAAAAAACCCATCACTGAAAAAAATTTTCTTTAATTTTCCTTGAAGAAAAATGTTGGTTTGGGAAAATAAAACGATTAGCATTGCTTTCTGAGATAGTAAACATGCATCATTCGAAGGTTCACTCTGACGAAATTAAGCCCGCACTGTAATTTTATTCAGAAAACATGAAAACCCCGAAATTAAAAGGCGTCATCGGGAAAAACAGGTTTAGATAAATACAGTACTGTACAGCATATACTTCGGGAATATTGCACGATAAAAAAAAACAGATTTCACATCCAACAAAATCGTAGAACTTACTAGTTGAAGGCGTACTGTATCGGGTATCTGACTTGAGGCCGCAGGTTTGGTGGCGGAAAATTGTAATCGAAAATAGGCTCCCTCATTTCTATAACAGAAAAAAATCTCGATATTTCATCTCGCAGGCAAAAACAAATATAAATCAGAAACAATACCAAGGGTTTCCTCGAACATCTTGCGAACACTACGATCGTAATTGCTTTGGAAAAAAGCAAACGAAGCTGGAGTCATCTTTTCCTGCAGGTCTGCGTAAAAATCCAACGTTGAAAAAGTTCGTTCCTTCAAATCCACCCTGTAAAAATACAACGCACAATGATGCATTTCCACGAGGAAAAAATGCGATCAAAAAACTCACCTTTTTTCACTCACACGATACTTTGAAAAATCGATTTCGGCGTCCTGTTTGTACAGCATGAACACATATCTATAGAAACCCGCACCTTTCGGCGGAAATGCTCCGAGATACGGACAAATGACATCACCCGTACTGAAATCAGCTCCTTTGATATTTCCTCTGTTTGGAAAAAATTTTCCACGTCAACAAAGAGAACCAATGCAAGAAACAAAGCTTTCACTTCTCCCATTTTTTAAACTCTTTCAAATCTCGCAAGAGAGGCAGAAAAAATTCCAAGTTCTTTTTACTCGAACAGAGAACTCCCAATTTCAAAGCATTTTTCAACAAAACACAGAATTGCATTGCATTAAACTCGATTTTCCAGAAAATTTCATGATCTATTACATTATTTGATCATTAAGGCGGAACCGAGAAGCAAATCGAATTTGGGATGACTGAACTTGACATTAACAATCTACTGCGCCTGCCAGTGACACCTAGCGACACTGAAACAAATCAGAAAACTCCATTGCACGGGTTCAAAATTTCTTACAGTACACCAAATTTTGGGAACGATGTTCAACTTGCCTTACTCATATATTCTAAATATGAACAGGAAAACATCTGCAATACTTACACAAGGTAATGCAAATATTCTTTATTATCCTCAGTGAAATGCCCATCTGGCGTGGACATAACCAGGCACCACAGCGAATCAGGATCTGCATCGACAATGCTGACTTCTGGCGCACTCGTCACCTTCTCAGGCCAACATGGAAAAACAAAAGAAATAAATATTCATGAAGAAACTCTTACCACTGTTACGAAAACAACGATCAACTCACATCGCGAGGTTTCAGGTAGTTCCCAAAATGAACAGGGTTCACAACATCGACGCCTTCTTCATTTTCTGCAGCGCTCCCGTACTCAACTTGCAACGGAACTCTGGGGTAGAAAAAGTACTCGGCGCCAAAAAGATCTCGGAAAATCCCATAATGTTCCCCAATAGTCAACAACTGCTCCGGACCTGACGACCTCATCCACTCCCGCAACAAAATTTGCTTGGTAGGACCTTGAAGAGCTACGAGAGGAGAAAAAGAAACATTTGAAAAATGAGTTAAAAAAAATTAGATACCGTAAGTAAATAACACTCACGAGATTCGATTACAGGTCCAGCCTTTGTTTCCTGTCGCCTCCGTTCCAACCTGTCGAGACGTTCTTTGCGACTGACTACCATACGTGGATTTCCAGGAAGACCGATGTTGATTCGTTTTTCAGGGCTCTCTTGCAGTCGAATTTCTACACGCGAAACTCGTCATTGACGAAAGAAACCACGATGAAGTCTTTTTTTTTCCAAGTTACCTGAGAGCCGTTGTTCCAATGTTTTGAATTTGAGAGGATCCGGTTCGTATCTCTCAATGTGCTCACGGATAGGTCCGTACGGGAGATACACATTTTCCTTGTTCCGTTTCGAGAATGACCGTCTGACAACACATGACACTTCACCAGAAACACGAGCGAAGCGGCCCGCACCAGCAACAACGTTCAGAAACATACGAACTCGAAGAAATCTGACGAGACGAAGGATAAAAGGTGTTGAAAAGGAATAAACGGTATTTGTATCAAAGAATAAATAAAATACTCTCTTCCACAACTATTCGAACACAAGCTTATGAAAAAGACTCCCTCTGGTATCACACGCGGATTCAAACATCCGGTTCTGACGCGAATATAAGATGGCATTGAATCTAGAACTTTCAGTCAGTCGAACTGAAAAAAAAAAATAATTCCAGGCGAATTCAAGGCGCGCTTTCCACTTCTTAAAAACAAGACAAAATGCCAAGAAATGGGGTAGACCAACGATTTCCCCAATTTTAAATTGGGAAACAGGTATGTTTTCGACCACATTCGTTGCAATCATGAATTTCAAAAAAGGCTCAAATGAAAGTAACATCATACGCAATTTTGACTACCCATTTCCTCGAAAAATGGATCAGATTGAAAGAAAAAGAAAGTGCGAGCTGCGCTTTCAGAATAGAACTTCAAATCACGTTCCAAAATCAAACTCAGAATAAGCAGTTACAATTTTGGCCCACTCCATGAGTTGGGATTTTGCGCACGAATCTGAAACTCCACCGATTGTAAGAAGGTATTTTCTTCGATTCAAATCAATGAGAAATTTCGTCTTACATTCGCCACATTAAAAAAAAAGAAAAAAAAAAGAAAAAAAAACAGGCAAAAAAAGAAAAATGCATCATGAAGCTTTGGCCCGTTTGCTTCGCCCTCGTCCGCGAGTCGAAGAGCGCTTCCTTTTCGCCATCTCATCAAATTCCAGATAGACCTGGAAAAGTAACAGGGTCGAGTCGATTTCAAGCTCTGCAGACGAAAGCTTGTCCAGGACGTAGTTGACTTTGGTGACGAGGTCTCTTTCCGGTGGCGTGATCATGGCGTCCACTTCCTTCAGCTCTTCCTGACTGGCTCCTTGCTCCACGAGTGTCTTGAGCAAAGCGTCGACTCGCCGCTTCTTGTCCATCAGCCGCTCACTGTCCATCACTTCCGCTTCCTTCCGGCACAACACATTGCCCAGGGACTTCTCGCATCGCTCCACGAGGCCACGAACCACGTGGGGCAAGTCCACGTGAAACAGGTAAACGCTTTTCATCGCTCCCGCGCCGGCTCCGACCGACTTCCGCATTTCGCGAACGGACGCGAAGTGATTCTCCGACAGTATGTAAGTGAGCACTTTGGCTTCCTTGGCGGGAATCAACGCGGTTTGCTGAATTTGCTCTTGGTCCACGAAGGCGTTGTCCAGCATCAAGGCGAAAACTCGCGCTGCTTTAGTGCCGTGTCTCTCTTGCACAATGGACCGCACGGCGTAGGCAGTCAGTACGTCCACAGTGTCTTTCAGCGCGATTGCGTATTGGCCACCTCCGGAATCCCCGATCTTGCGCACAATTTTCAACGTACCACTCTCTGAATAAGATTGAGAAACAGAAGGAAAATTTTTCTACAATCTGACGCAGAAACGCATTTTTTTTTTTACTGAGAAGTACGACTCCTTCATGAAACGAAGAAACATCAAACGTGTTCCCCGACGACACTTAGTTCAAGATCTCCCCCAGAAGCTCATTTTTCGCAAAAAAAAAAAAAAAAAATTAACGTAATCTTCAGGTTAGGTTTTTTCCTATCGCTATTTGAAATAATTTCTAAAGAACTTTAAAAAAAATTATAGAATTGAATCAAAGTAGTACGGTAATACTGTATACCAAGAAATTTCAAAAAGCAAGAGTAATTCTCACTCCCCCAAACGATTCTATCTACAGCATCAATTTTGGTTTAGCTAATTAATGCGGAAATATGTACTTGGAATCCGAGCAAAAAAATGGAAAGCACTCATTTATGGTTGAACAGGAATTGCTGTGTTCCTGGAATGACAGGGAGAAAGCTGGGGTCCATGTTCGTACAGTACATGATCTTTTTATCTTTTTAAATAATTTTCCCGTTTCTACACCTAAGAATAAGGAATCATTCATATCTTACTCCTGCGATAAAAAAAAAAAACTCCTCTAAGTTAAATCGTGAAAAAAACTTATCAAACGTATGATGACTACCAATACAAGACACGTTTATACGAGACATTTGAGATGGGGAGGGGGGGGGACGAAGAACAATAGCAGGATACTTACGCAAAACTTCGAGGTAATCCCTAAGCTTCTCAGCCAACGAATTAAGGCATAATTTCAAAATATCACTCTTCAGGACGAAGAAAGAAATATCGCCAACAATCGGGTCTTGGTGAAGGCGTGATGATGAATCCGACAGCATTTTCTTCACCAACGCGCCTCCCAACTCATCCGTTTTTCTCACGGCAGCTTCGATCACTATTGAGTCCCTAAAATGAAAAGTAAAATAAAAGTTAACTGATTATCGCATAGCAAGCAAGAAATGAAAAAATACGAACCTGATTTGCGCGTCGAACCGACTTCCGCTTATACGCCACAGTATGTTCTTGTCTGGATGATCACCCTCGTCTGCGGCACTTGATACTATTCTCTCATGAATTGCTTCCGCTTTCACGTCCACTTCAATGACTACCTTCGATACGAAGCTTGGAACTAGCTCTTCATTATTTTTCAAGTAGCTTTCCGAATCTGTAACTCTTGGACATTGCTCTATGAAACCTTCTTTTCGTAAAAGTTTGAAGTGCTTCTCGATTTCTGGGACGGCCAGCTTCGATGGATCGAGCGCAAATACTCTGCAACCAACAGTGAACAATATTGCGGACAGGGGTAGACGACCGTGGTTCATCAGTTCCTGGATAATGGACTCGCAGATATCCGAAAAATTGTCTTTCATTTGCTGTAGATATCGCGGATAACGTAGAATACGTTGGACTGCGAGAGCGTCGATCGAATACAGCACGAGAGATCCTTGTGACACGAAGTTTACTAGGCCATGATGCATTAACGCAGCTAATGCACGTTTCGCCTACAAAGTCGGTTCACGTGAGGAAATTGTGGGAAAATTTCAAAAGACTCTACTACCTTCTGCTTCATCACACCTGGAGGACATACTCGGTTGAGGGGAGCGGCACCACGCAAAAGTAGATGAGTAACTGATTCGGCAACCTCACCAAATAACTCTCGCACGATCAAGCAGCACAGTTTATTTTGCTGCAAAGACATTCTATGATCGCGAGGCAGACACTTGCCCTGCCGCACTGAAAGATGATGAGGACGACAGAATTATTCATCCTGAACAAGATGCATCAGCAATAAAATACAGTACACATATTCGGCGCGAGTTCACTTCAGGAGACACATCTGGCATATTCAAAAAAGGAAAACAGCCTCGTAATCTCCAGCAAAGTTAACTCACTGTCTCAAAATTTTCTCAACCGTAAAAATGCTACAAATTACATATTCAACGACTTGTAACTCTTCCAAGAGTGATCACAATAAGATCAAGAGTGCCTCACTCATCTAACCTTGTGCCAAAGCAAATCCGTCTCCGGTATCACATCACCGAGCGGCTTTTTGCTCCTGACCAAAACACAAACATTCACCTTGCCCACGTTCAGGCGTCCAATCAATTAAGAGAATAGGAGGACTTCGACTCCCGTCAATAGCACAAGTCTATTTCTCAACAATTCCGAGTGCACCATCACCACAGTGAGGTCTATGCAAGTAATAAGGAATTGTCAGTCAAGGAAGGACCTCAACGCACGTTTCTATAAGCACGTCATATATTCACAGCACCAACAATAGTAACGGATGATGTCAAGAGTTAAAGAGATGATCACTTGTCAAAAGCTCAGATCGAAGTGCCGTCATACTGTCCCGCAAGTCACCCCCTCGCGGTTCGTCCCCAGATCTCTTCAGGTGATAACACCGACTCGGGTGGGTTATGTATCGGACGGTGGTTCCCGCCGCTAGATGTCGCGCGCTGGTGTAAGGGGAGGCCCTTACTAAGTCAATAGCTCAAGTCAGAATACCAGGGTTTTCTGTCTTACATGCTCCTCCGATTATCCCTCATATCATGAGATAATAAGTGGCTGTCTGAGTGGAAGCCTTGACGTGTTCTCCCCTGCCTTCTCCTAGATGTGACTCTCTGTCATAAGGGGAGCCCTTACTAACTTTTCCAGGGGAATGGTTGACCTCTCTCAAGGACCAGAAAACAATACGGATTGTCAAGGAATGCCCTTACTAAATTGACATGGTCTTCATGAAAAAGTGACTGCAGGTAGACTCTGTCTACAACAAATTGCAGGGGACCAGAAAAAATTTGTTGTAGAGAGAATTCCATTGTATACAATCCTATGGGAAGATAACATAACTCGATCTGGCTATAGGTTATAAATAAATAATTTGTATTCCTATATATTTTACAAGATGAAAAAGGCTTACACTGTATTCATTGAAAAGAATCAATATATAGATCACCATCAGCCAAACATCAAATACAGTATTTAATAGGTAAGAGAAGCACTCAAGAAATCCAGAGAATATAAAAAATGTGAAGTCTGGAACAGAGATAATGAAAATTTTGGAGCAATAATATATAGTGACAGGTCTACAAAAATATGCATAGTCTTGAATTAAGGAAATAATAATGAAAGAAAATGAAACAATCATACTGGACTGACTACAGAAATTCAAAATAAAATGTATACTAGATACGTAAAAAAATAATCCAGGAAACTTGAACTACAGAAAATTGCCACAGAGAGCAGACTTAGAGAATGGAAGCAGAAAATTAATGGATGAAGCATTCAAAATGATTTTAAAAATTACAGAAAATAAATATACAATTATACAATAAAATCCAATGGATTCACTTATTCAGACCATGCATGAAATATTTAAAAAAGTGAAACATTTTAAAAGGCGTGAAAAAAGAAAACAATATATTCTGCCAAATTTCATATTTTTCTGCAAACCCATTTTACTAGGCCCAATTGTATCAACATCAATGGCACCTCATCTGAAGCTTTTGTTGCAGAGTAAATTGCTTTCACTCATGTTGTTATCCACAGTCAACGATTTTCAAGACTCATTTTTCTGCAGATAACCTTCACTTAAATTAAAGAAAAAAAGGTGCATTACAATTATGGTCATGACGCATGGCCTTTATATTCACTACAGTATATAGAAAATGAAGAATAATTCTTTGAAACTTATTTCACTTAATTAGCACAGGAAACCTGTGATAATTATTTAAAATTATCTTGTTAGATTAAACTAGCAATAAACTTTTATTGTTAATTATTTATTGTTAGATACAGTATTAAGTTTGGTGTGCTGTACTGTACTGGGTAACGCCAATAGTTACGCAGGGTTCTCTTAAGAAAAAAGTGCTTATGACGATGAAACGCGGGGAATACAAGTTCCCCCAAAATTCTACGAAGGCTTACAGATGTGAGCTTTCATAGAGGTGAAGTTGAAATATTATTAATTTTTAGTTAACTTGATCGGGCTGATTTCATTCGTTGCTTTTACAAGAACTTTTGGAACGACCTTCTTATCCGCGATGGGTAGAATGTTGGATTTGGGGGGTTGAGAAAAAATGGCTGCTTCCTTTCGCCCAGAGAGTTCGGTACTGCGGTTGAGAACTTAGTTTTTCATCAATGGGATGCAAGTTGTGAGAAATCTTGTTAATTTTGAACCGTGGTTCACGTTGAACGCGTTCATTAGTTGCATGGATTTCTCCACGAAGTACGCTTCGTGTTTTATTTTGGAATGTTTCGAATTACGGAAAGTTTTTTGGGCTCGTGCTGGAAGTGCGTGACAGGCCTTCGTCTTTCCTCTGGGCGTGAACTCCGATAGGCAATTTAGCAGCTGTTGTTAACTCGGAAGACCGCACTTCAATTGTAATTTTTCCTAAAAATTTTCTGACCAAAACGCTTAGCATCGAATTCCTCTACTCGTGTATGGATGTATACAACCTTCTAAATACTACAGTACGAATAAATATACATCCTCGTTTGAGCTTCTCGAAGATAGCATAGAATGATTCTACTTTCCTTAGTTTACTAGTAATTAGAAATGTGAATGACAAATCCACGCTTGAATTGGCCGTATTCTATAATTTTTTACTTGAAGCCCAGCTTGCATCGGCAAAGTTTAGACGGACGCTCACACGGTATTCATTTGACCTGATTACTTGGTCGCATATCATGAGCAATTTGATCCGTTCGTTTGTGTATCAGGCTGATATCGTTCGACGTGCTGGAGGATTTAGTGCAAATTCTTGAGATCAAGTGTCAGTTCTGGGGTAGAGATAGGAACTTTCGAATGACGCCGAAAAGTGTTCCCTACATCTTGAATACATTTGCGAGAAATTCCAGTTCTACGCTGTAGAGTGGACGTACTCATGTGTTATCAGATTGGCTAGGAGAATCTTGGTGTGATGGATCAATGTTTTGATCAAGCATGACAGACTAGTGCTTAATGCGTATGTAACGCGTTTTCGTGAGGACTTCTGGTTTTCTAGGGAGACGCTAAATACATTAGCAGATAAGATCCGTGTGATAGGGCTAAAGGCTATGTTCGCCCACTATGAGAAACTGCTGATAACTGGAGGAGCAGTGTTGTATACTGCGGCGGGATTTTTTTTCTTGTATTTATCGATTTTTTGAATTGGGACGCCTTATTTTTTTCAATGTTCAGATGTGTATTGTGTTTGTGGTAGTGAAATGATGGGATGAGAAAGTTGCGAAAGGATTTCTTTATGCTGCACTGAAGAGGTCAGATACATCATGATTTTTATGTATACCTGTTCCTTTTTAGTCAAAGCAATGGGCGGTTCTACTGAGTTTTCCAGTGTCGAAGGAATTTCATTTGATTTACGTTTTTTGTCAAACTTTGTGTCGATGTAATTTTGTGACTGGTATCACGAAGGAAAACTTCTGCATGGTACTGTTTTTAACGAGAAAGAAATCAAGTAGGACTTTGCCGCCGAAGTGAAGAAATAATTTAAATGATTCGATTATTTTCGTCGAATGGGTTAAAGCAATTACAGTATCACCAAATCCTACTTGTAATTGAGTCAGCGCCCATTGAGTTTATCTAGTTGATTTTCTGATGAATTAAGTTGAGCATTCATTTCGTTATTCTGCAGTGGTTTGAAGAAGGCTGAAGACGCAGTTGTGGTCATCATGTTCTTGGGGATGAATTGTCGTGGTTCTGCTTGCTTGGCTGTGTGCTTTGCGGGAAAGGCTGGACAGGTGCGTTGGGTCGAGTCGCAGCACGAATCGGTGAGGATTTGAATTGATTTACGACGATAACCCATTTTTATTTTTTTTTTCGATGTGGTTACTAATTATGTACGTTGTTCTTGTTTTTTTTATATAAAGATTTACGGGTCTGTTTCGTGTTGCTCGTGGAAGGCGCGGGATGCTACCATAGCTTGAGTCTCGGGTTGGCAGCTGGCGGATTGCGGGACCGACCAGAGGAGAGTGGATGCATGAAGTCCGGCCTCCAATGCACTTTTCGGGGATGAATTCATACGCACAGACCTCGGGCCTCATGGGTAAATATTGTAACTCTGTGGCTCAAAACCCTTGAAATGTTCGGTTATTGACGAGCATCAAGGTCCCAAGAGGTTTTTTATTTCTACTTTTTTCTGCGGAAAATTAAAATGGGAAGAATCTCCTCTTTAGATTTAATTGAAGAATTTAAGGGAAATATGTTCTATGCTCAGTCGGAAAAGTGTTGAATGGGACAAATGTGACTCGCACTTAGGTCTTTGAGAAATATCGATTTTCCTGAACGTCCTCATTTTCATGGAATGTTAAATTATTACAGTACAATAAAGGGTTGCAAAATTTCTGCAGATTTGTTCGTTAGGTGTAGATGCAGGGTTTTTGAGGGTACTTCACATTGGTTGACGCTTTGAAACAACACCCCGAAATGATCCCAATAAAATTTGAGGTGCGACTCAAACTGTAGTAGTCCATGGAATTCTTTCTGTTTTGAATGTTGTACGAAACATTTTTCAGGAATGGTCCTCGACGAATTCCGGATCTTTTTGAGTTTAATCATTTGTATGCAGTACTGGTAATATTTTTGATGAAAATGTGTTTCCTTTGCAGGAGTGCCAGTTGTGATGCCAGCGCAAGGCGTGTCTGGATTGGGACTCGGCCTTGTGCCGAACATGATGGATCAACAGCAAGACCATTATTCGATGATGGCTGCAGCCGGACAGGCCCCCTCTGAAGAACT